CTCTCTCTCTCTCTCTCTCTCCAAGACAAAACAGAGGTGTCTCTCCGTTTATAAGTTTTATATTCTCTCTCTCTCTCTCTCTCTCTCTCTCTCTCTCTCTCTCTCTCTCTCTCTCTCTCTCTCTCTCAGTCAAACAGGGTGTCTTCCGTTTATTAGTTTTATCTTCTCTCTCTCTCTCTCTCTCTCTCTCTCTCTCTCTCTCTCTCTCTCTCTCTCTCTCTCTCTCTCTCTCTCTCTCTCTCTCTCTCTCTCTCTCAGTCAAACAGGGTGTCTTCCATTTATTCGTTTTATCATAACTGAAATTATTAAAACGAAACAAAACAAAACAAAACAAGACCAACCCACCCCCCCCCCAATACTGACCACTATTGATGGTATAGGTGAGAGGCCCTCCGTCCGGGTCGGTACAACTGAGAGATGCAACAGCGGAACCCGCTGTAGATCCATCTAGGATAGGCTGGATGATCGTAGTCTGTGTACAACTCTGTGCCGATTAGACAAACGTGTCGTTTTTTTATATTTAGTAGAGGTTTTACGGCACTTGCAACTGCATAAGGCCATATGAGAGCCTATGGGTGGATGTTAACAGAGACGTCTTTACAGGGAATCAGGCTTACTCTGCTCACCTCTCTAGCTTCAACAGCACAAAGTCTGTTTCGACTTTCAAGGCACCCCGGAAATAGCCGGTCACAAGAGAGTGACAAACATACACAAGAAGTAGAGGAAAAATGACAAAAATAAGGATTAGGAAAGAAAAAGTAGCAATTCCCTGTTGTAGATCAGGCACATTTATGAGTGTGACATTGATGAATCAGCCCATTTACAATTCTGCTGTGCATGAACGAGAAATGTCCCCCCTTTGGGAATGGCCTAAAGACACTTCAGTCAGTGGCACCGCCCCGTGGGGTCAAACGTGTCAGTAGATTGTCATTACACTATGGCCTTTTGCGTCCTGACAGAGGATTATAAAGCAGTTTTTATGGCACAGCTCTGTCTGGGCGGTAGACTTAGAGGAGGCAGATTGCCCAAATGCTACTTCCCTCCTTTCAGATCTTGACTTTCTTGAAATGCTCCTAATGAGGGATGATGAAAACGACGATGACGACGACGTCAACGATAATTACGACAAGGATGGTGATGGTGATGATGATGATGATGAGGAGGAGGAGGAGGAGGAGGAGGAGGAGAAGGAGGATGAAGATTATTTTTTTCTGCTGTAAAAAATGATGATGATGATGATGATGATGATGATGATGATGATGATGATGATGATGATGATGATGATGATGATGATGATGATGATGATGATGATTGGATCTATGGCACTCACCGGTACCACGTCATTTATGTCTTCGACAGTAATGGTCACAGTCTCCTCAACAGTTTTAGGACCTAGGTTGACTCCCTTGTCAGTGGCGCGTACAGTCAGAGTATAGGAAGTAGTCCCTGACTCATAGTCCAGAGGCTGGATCAGTATGATATCACAGTTGTTCGGATCGATGGCAAACTTATTGTCCGTGTTCCCAGCTGGTGTTTATTGGATTTCCAGATTTGCAGATAAAAGAAAAATACGTAGAGGAAAACATATGATGATGGCATGGTTTCGAGATGTGAAGAAAGCAGACGAATAGAAAGGGGAAAACAACTGTAGGGGTCGAATGAAAAACAGGATAATTCCTTTTTTTAGTTATAAGCAGGGCACCAACCCTCAATTACAGCAGTACCAATATCCCCTATGAAAGTAATCAAGTGAAAAACAAGATAGACCCTAAGCCCATTTTCAGAAGAAAAAAAAATCAGGGTACATGTACTAGCCCTCAATTTCAACAATACTAGTAGAATATCCCTTTAAAAATAAATCAAGTGGAAAAAACAGGATAAACCCTTTTTAAAGAAAAAAAATAGGGAACTATAATAGAGCCATATGTGAGGCAGCGTGGTGGAATCAGGCTCTCGTCAATTTTTTGGGCATGTAGAGTTATTAGTATCTTCTTAAAGCTGTTTAACTTGTGTTTATTTCGATGAAAAAAATATCCATGCATCTTGAATACAAGTCAAGATATTTGCGAATGAAGGAGGTGGGGGTCGCCTGTTTTCAGAGGTAAAATTAGTGAGAAAATGGCCGTCAAAGATTAGTTATTTCCTTAGCTTAAGAGTCCGTGGTAACTGAAAAGTTACATTTTTTTGTGCCTTTAATCAACGTTTTTTCCAGAAAAATCCACTTAGAAATGAGTTCTTTAATGGGCATGAAAGGTGTTGAGCCAAAAAAAAAAATTTGATAAAAATTCACAAACCAGTAGAAAAATGCAAGTTTCTTCACTTTGATTATTTTGACGAGAGCCTGATTCCACCACGCTGCCTCACATATATTACAAGAGTATCTGTAGAATATTCCTATAAAAATAATCGAGTCGAAAACCCGTTGAATGTTCCACAAACTGTATTCTTATATAAGCAAAAACTCGTTTAAGACAGTCGAAGTCCATCATAAAAATGTGAAAAAGAATTTTATAATGATATAGGGTACTTAAAAGTAGGATTGGTGCGACAAGTGTAACTTGCCCGTTTCATATATAAACAGCCGACGAGAAAGTTTTGTTTCTCACTTAATTAAAATTATCCCTAGATATTTTGACTCTTCTGTGATCGCCGTGATTGCCAGGTTTTATTTTGGGGTGGTTTTTTAATGTGTTGTTCTTTTATCACAACTTGGTATGTTGCTGTTTGTTTAGTATAGGGTTTTACGGCGCTCGCAACTGCATAAGGTCATATGAGCACGCGAAACGCAAGTTAGTTTTGTACACAACAGTTTACTGTACGCTGGCTCGGGTTAGTAGTTGAATCTTAAAATGTTAAATGTTTAAAAATCAGTGTAAATATATATATTTTTTCAATCTAAAACGATTTTTTCTAGTTAACATTTATAAAAAATTAAATAGGACAATTTCATGTTATAATTTGCCATAAAGGCCAATGGCCTTCACAAAATTCAAAATTCTGCTGGGACCAACGACGGAAAAAATGTCTAACAATTTCTGGCATTTATAATATTTCCTTCGGATCTCTCCAAAGTCTAGACATTCGGTAAAGATGTGTCTTAAGGTAAAATCTGTGTCGCATCCGACACAGAACGGCTTTTCATCTCCTGGTATGTTGCTATTTGAAAGGATTGCTGTACAATGAATTGGTCGGTATGCGATATGTATGTATGTTATTATGCTATTTCTTTAAGCATGTGTGCACGTGAATTTCATAAAACAAGTAATATAGTGTGTGCTTGTAATACAGGAATAATACAGGAATGCGAGTATGAATATTTTTCACCGCGTGTGTTGCGAAGCGCGGCATTCGACCCGAGTTTAAATATCAGTTTAAAAAATATAGCGTATCGAATAAATAATGGAAAATATATCCAATGAAAGATGAAAATTATCAAATATGTAGTAAAAGCATAAATAATAACAAACATCTCTATTAAATAGTGAAAAATATGTTTAATAAATAATGACAAATACCTCTAATAGATATAACGAAACATGCTTCTAATATTGTCTAATAACAAACGCGTTTTATAAATAAAGAAAGGTACCTCTAATACATAAAGCAAAAATATTATCTAGTAAATAAAAAGAAAACATGTCTCACAAACGATGCTCAGCTGTGTCTGAGCGTCCGCTGTGTCCGAACGGTCGGCGTCTGTGACTGTACAGGTCGTCAGCGTGGTGCCCACAAGCTTCGTCTCAGAGATGTTCACGTTGTTCAGGTTAGTGATGACAGGCGTTTCCTCGTTTTCCGAATCGATGTAAACAACGACAGTCACTCTGGTGGGCCCAGGGCTTACGTTATTGTCCACGTCAACTACCAGCTGTAGAGTGAGTGAGAGAGAGAGAGTGAGAGAGCGAGGGGGGAGTGAGTGAGTGAGTGAGTGAGTGAGTGAGTGAGTAAGTGAGTGAGTGGGTGAGAGATAGATAGATAGAGAAAGAGAGAGAGA